CATGTTGATTGCCCTCTTAAAAGACAAAGTCCAGCAACTGGAGGAACGTGTAGCTACGCTCCAAAGAATTAGAGAGCTGGAACTCTTCTTGGAAGCAACAGAGCACACCGTCTCCACCAAGGAAGAGACAGGGGACTCCCCTGAGAAGGTGGCTAGTTCACCAACACAGGAGCCAGATATATGGAGAAACGTGACTCAAAGAAGTAGGAGGCCCAGGGTTCGCTCTGATTGTTTAGAAATACGCAATCGCTTTGAGGTCCTTTCCCCTAGCATGGAAGACGAAGAGCAGACTCCATTTGAGGATCTCTCCCTCATTACAGTCGATCAGGTATATGAAGACGAGGAGCAAAGGCAGTCCTCTGGGAATGTCCAGGCGACCTTGGAACCGACAGCTCACAGAAGAACCCCGACCAGACCTAAGAGGAGGCGTGTAGTGGTGATAGGGGATTCCCTACTGAGGGGAACAGAAGCAGTGATCTGTGGGCCTGACAAGATGTCTCGGGAAGTGTGCTGTCTCCCCGGGGCTAAGCTCAAAGATGTAACTGAACGACTGCAAGGAATCATAAAACCCACTGACAAATACCCCTTCCTCTTGGTTCATGTGGGAACCAATGACACTGCAAGCAATAGCCTCCAGAAGATCAAAAGAGATTACGAGGCTCTGGGCAGGAAATTGAAGCAATTAAATGCACAAATTGTCATCTCATCTGTCCTCCCAGTTGAACGACGTGGCCCAGGGAGAGAGGGAAAAATAGTGGAAGTGAACAACTGGCTTCGCAAATGGTGCAAACAGGAACGGTTTGGATTCTTAGATCACGGAATGCAGTTTCTTGAAGATGGACTTCTGGCAAGCGATGGGCTGCACCTCACAACGGTTGGGAGGAATGTTTTTGCAAAAAATCTCAGAAACCTCATCAGGAGGGCTTTAAACTGACTAATGTGGGGGAGGGAGACAGTGCTCCTGAAGGTAGGAGTCTATCAATTGATGAAGATGATCATCCAAATGTCATAGACCGAATGGAGCAAAGAGCATGCAGACCTAGTGGTGGGAGGAGAAAATCCTTAAATAAGAGACACGGGGGAATGATTAATGGACTTCAATGTCTGTACACTAATGCGCAAAGCATGGGAAATAAACAAGATGAGCTTGAGCTCCTGGTACAGCAAACTAAATATGACATAATAGGAATCACTGAAACCTGGTGGGATAAATCCCACGATTGGAATGTAATAATGGAGGGATACAATCTATTTCAAAGAAACAGACCAGACAAGAAAGGAGGAGGAGTGGCGTTATATGTCAGGGATGTGTATACCTGTGAAGAGATCCAAGATTTAGAACCTCAAAGCCAAAGTGAGAGCATTTGGGTCAAAATTAAGGGAGAGAAGAATAACAGTGACCTCATTGTGGGAGTTTACTATAGATCCCCAAGCCAAACGGAGGACATAGATGATGCCTTCCTGGAACAGATGGCCAAGCATGCAAAAGGAAGGGAGATAGTAGTAATGGGGGACTTCAATTACCCGGATATTTGTTGGATGTCAAACTCAGCCAAGAGCATAAGGTCAAACAGATTCCTCACTGCCCTTGCAGACAACTTCATTGTCCAGAAAGTGGGAGAAGCAACAAGAGGAACAGCCATTTTAGATCTGGTCCTAACCAATGTTGATGACCTGGTTAGTGGGGTAGAAGTGGAAGGATCATTAGGCGCGAGTGATCATGCTCTTCTGAAGTTTACTATACAGCGGAAAGGAGCAGCCAAGCATACTAGGACTCAATTTCTCGACTTTAAGAAAGCCGACTTCATAAAGCTTAGGAAAGTGCTGGGTGAGATCCCATGGACAGTAATACTAAAAGGAAAGGGAGTTCAAGATGGCTGGGAGTTTGTTAAGAGGGAGATAGTAAAAGCACAACTTCAGGCAATACCAATGAGACGGAAACATGGAAGGTGCCTAAAGAAGCCAGGGTGGCTATCTAAAGAACTTTTAACTGAGTTAAGATTAAAAAAGGATGTGTACAAAAAATGGAAAAGGGGGGAAACCACCAAAGAGGAATTCAAACAAATAGCCAGCACGTGTAGACACAAAGTCAGAAAAGCTAAAGCACAAAATGAACTCAGGCTTGCTAGAGAGGTTAAAAGCAACAAAAAAGGCTTTTATGGGTATGTTCGTAGCAAAAGGAAGAACAAAGAAACCGTGGGGTCACTCAGAGGAGAAGATGGTGAAATGCAAACAGGGGACACAGAAAGGGCTGAACTCCTCAATGCCTTCTTTGCCTCAGTCTTCTCCGATAAAGAAAACAATGCCCGACCTGAAGAATTTGGAGCAAATGATTCAGCAGAGGAAACACAGCCCAGAATAACTAAGGAGATAGTACAAGAATACTTGGCTAGTCTAGATGTATTCAAGTCTCCAGGGCCAGATGAACTGCATCCAAGAGTATTAAAAGAACTGGCAGATGTGATTTCAGAACCACTGGCAGTCATCTTTGAGAATTCCTGGAGAACAGGCGAAGTCCCGGCAGACTGGAGGAGGGCAAATGTTGTCCCTATTTTCAAAAAGGGGAAAAGAGAGGACCCAAATAATTACCGCCCAGTCAGTCTGACATCAATACCAGGGAAGATTCTGGAGCAGATCATTAAGCAAACAGTCTGTGAGCACCTAGAAAGGAATGCTGTGATCACCAATAGTCAGCATGGATTTCTGAAAAATAAGTCATGTCAGACTAACCTGATCTCGTTTTTTGACAGAATTACAAGCCTGGTAGATGAAGGGAACGCAGTGGATGTAGTCTACCTTGATTTCAGCAAGGCATTTGACAAGGTGCCCCATGATATTCTTGTAAAGAAGCTGGTAAAATGCGGTCTTGACTATGCTACCACTCAGTGGATTTGTAACTGGCTGACTGACCGAACCCAAAGGGTGCTCATCAATGGTTCCTCTTCATCCTGGAGAAGAGTGACTAGTGGGGTGCCACAGGGTTCTGTCTTGGGCCCGGTCTTATTCAACATCTTTATCAACGACTTGGATGATGGACTCAAGGGCATCCTGATCAAATTTGCAGATGACACCAAACTGGGAGGGGTGGCTAACACCCCAGAGGACAGGATCACACTTCAAAACGACCTTGACAGATTAGAGAACTGGGCCAAAACAAACAAGATGAATTTTAACAGGGAGAAATGTAAAGTATTGCACTTGGGCAAAAAAAATGAGAGGCACAAATACAAGATGGGTGACACCTGGCTTGAGAGCAGTACATGTGAAAAGGATCTAGGAGTCTTGGTTGACCACAAACTTGACATGAGCCAACAGTGTGACGCGGCAGCTAAAAAAGCCAATGCAATTCTGGGCCTCATCAATAGGAGTATAGCATCTAGATCAAGGGAAGTAATAGTGCCACTGTATTCTGCTCTGGTCAGACCTCACCTGGAGTACTGTGTCCAGTTCTGGGCACCACAGTTCAAGAAGGACACTGACAAACTGGAACGTGTCCAGAGGAGGGCAACCAAAATGGTCAAAGGCCTGGAAATGATGCCTTATGAGGAACGGCTAAGGGAGCTGGGCATGTTTAGCCTGGAGAAGAGGAGGTTAAGGGGTGATATGATAGCCATGTTCAAATATATAAAAGGATGTCACATAGAGGAGGGAGAAAGGCTGTTTTCTGCTGCTCCAGAGAAGCGGACACGGAGCAATGGATCCAAACTACAAGAAAGAAGATTCCACCTAAACATTAGGAAGAACTTCCTGACAGTAAGAGCTGTTCGACAGTGGAATTTGCTGCCAAGGAGTGTGGTGGAGTCTCCTTCTTTGGAGGTCTTTAAGCAGAGGCTTGACAACCATATGTCAGGAGTGCTCTGATGGTGTTTCCTGCTTGGTAGGGGGTTGGACTCGATGGCCCTTGTGGTCTCTTCCAACTCTATGATTCTATGATTCTATGATTCTATGAAATCATTGCATATGTTATATAAGCTACAATTCATATGCAAGTATAGTTACAAAAGTTTTGCAGGTATGTTCTGATGGCTGCTGTTGTGAGGGGGTAGAAAACCAGGCCACGAGCCTTTTGACATGAACTTAGTGAAAGGATACTTTTTAGTAGTATCATTGACATCAGTGCCAAGAAATAATAAAAAGGTATTCGGCAAGACAAGTATTCATGCTATAGCCTTTAGAAACATTAATATTTTATATTAATAATGTTTCTAAAACACAGGATTGGCTATTCCATATATATATATGCTACCAAATGTCTATTTCTGCCCCATGTCCTTCAGGAATTGACTTAATATGCCACAGTTTTCATTAGCTGCTCAGTTCTACTGCCTTCCATTTCATCAGTTCAGAATTCCATGGAAGTTACCTCTATGATATTCTTTAAGGTTTCGTGACTTGTTTCTGCAACTGCGCTCCTCTTTGTTTCCTCAGTGATCAAAATCACAGGAAGATGGATCACACTTTAAGCACTGAATACAGTTCGCTTCTCAAAAACTAAAAAATAATGCTTTTTTAAAAGTCGATTTATTTTTATACTTCCCTCACTTAAAAAAAAGAGGCGCCTATTGCAGTCTCATTGTGTTAAACTGATGCCATTGCACTGCTTGTCAAGATGCCATGATGGAACTAACCACTTGGGCGGTTATTACAACAAGAAGCCTTGCTTTAGACTGTGCTGTCAATAAGTGTAATGCAGATGATGCTGTTGTGACAGGCTTGTCCTTAGAATTAGAAGGAAGATGACTTGAGCAAATGAACTGGAACAGCCCACTTCCTCTACTGTACTGTACTGAATTTATAAATGACATGAGGATACTTGGTTTTTGTGTGTGCAGTGTGTGTGTGTGTGTGTGTGTGTGTGTGTGTGTGTCTGTGTTGGGGGGCTGTACATTATTTTGCTTGGAACCTATGTTCACTCATGTTGCAAAGTATTGTCAGTGCTGATCAGCAGTTAGAAATGTAGATATGATGGGATGACTTCTTCCTGCTTTTTTTCCTTCAAGGATATCTAGTGAACATTCTCCAAAGCTTCAGATCCGAAGCCACAGTTACTTGAGGGCAGTGAGCGAAGTTTCAATCAATAGGAGTTTGGATAGCCTGGACCCTGCAGCTCTGCTGACTTCTCCCAAATTTCGTTCCCGGAATGAGAGCTACATGAGGGCCATGAGCACTATTAGTCAGGTGAGTGACATGTGTGCAAAACTGAGAAAACAAGGTTGGCATCAGTTGCCAGCATGAGTAGTTCTCAAGTGAAAGGAAATACGTGACTAATTGCATGGCTAGATTTTTTTAAAAACCAAATCCTCAGTATTCCATCCTACTCATGATGGGGGTATGCTGATAGAAACAGGCTGGATTTCAATGGATGGGTTGACCAGGGGCAGCAAACAGGTTTAACCACCACCTGAATGCAGTTCATAATTGTCCTCCTTCACTATTTTCCCCTTTACTTTCTTTGAAATGTTCACAGTTGCCATTTACATCTACAGTCGTACCTTGGAAGTCGAACGGAATCTGTTCCAGAAGTCTGTTTGACTTCCAAAATGTTCGGAAACCAAAGTGTGGCTTCTGATTGGCTGCAGGAAGCTCCTGCAGCCAATCAGAAGGCACAGAAGCCCCATCGGATGTTTGGGTTCCAAAGAACATTCGCCAACCAGAACATTGCGGTATTTGGGAGCCAAAACGTCCGAGTACCAAGGCGTTTGGGATCCAAGGTAGGAATGTATTAAGAAAAGTAAACCACTTTGAATAAAAGTTTTGTAGTCAGGGCAGGACAAGCCACAGATGGTGGCGCTCCAGGGAAATAGGTATATTTGGTTCCCCCTCCATTTGTTCATCTTTTAGATAACTTCTTTATTCCATTTGTAGCCCATTTCAAGACTGATGCATGATTTGCATGGATGTTAGATCGGTATAATATAAAGTGAAAAATGTCCATGCATGGATCTGTTCAGTCTCTCACATGAGCTGAATGGGCAGTGATGTCACAAATATTCCCACAGTTATTGTTTCTGAAAACAACAACAACCAAGGTTAATGCAACACTGGCCGCGTGGGTAAGTGTTGCCAACTTTACAAGTAAAAATGAACTGTTTCAGCCATGGAGTGAGTTGTTGAATAGATAACCTCAGGCAGATTCTTTCCCTGTGATCACACACACACACACACATACACAACCCAGCACCCCATCCCTGGGTAATTTGAAATATGTTTGAGACTTCCTCCTGAAGTATGAGCTTTTCTCTTTGAGAAAATGATGCACCCAGTTGAAGTTACTATGAACAGAGCCAACCTAGATGCCTTCCTTCTTATCTGAGCTCCTTTCATTGAATACATACATATTTTAAATCTATGCTGCCTTTCCACAGTTCAAACCATGCTCAAGGCAGCTTACAACATGGAATATTTATATATAAGTGCAACACAACAAAAGAGGTCATAAAGAATATAACATGAAAAACAAAACACAACCAAACTGAATAATTTCCACATAAATCACAAAATTTAAAGATACGGAACACCGACAGTAAAATGCCCACCCAAGAAAAGCCAACCAGCCAAACAACACCCCAGCCCAAAAGTCTGTTCAGCAGCCTCAGTTTTTGTAGCTGGAGTCAGTCAGGGCCCTGCCTTCCCACGCCAGGTGGGAAAAGGCCTGCAAGGTAGAGAGCAGGTCTTTCAGGACTCACAGCCAAGATGGAATATACCTGGGATCTTGATACGCCAGCAGCACAAGCCCAAAACTACAAGAGTATAAATGTTGAAGGCTTGTGATTTCCCCCTCTCAATTATTTTGTGTGGCTTACTTTCACTATCTGAAGTTTTCATAACAATGTGCCATATTCATCATTGTTCACCCTTGTTGTGCTTGTTTTATGTCTAGATTTTAATTATTTTGTTTTTGTTGATTTCTTTGCCCCCCCCCACTCAAAATGTAAAGAAATGATAAAAATAAAAGACTTAAGTAAAGTTTTAAGGTATTCGGTTGCAATACATTTATAGCTTGAAAATAAGTAGCCTGTTAATTATCTGTGATTGTGTACAGTTACTTGTGATTTCGTGTGTGAATACTGTAATATTATCTGTGTATTTTTCTTATGGCTGCAATATGATTCATCCGCTTCCCTGTTAAACAGAACAAGCTTATTTTCACCTATGACTGAAGGCTTGGAAAAGCAGATTCCTTCCTTTTAAAAGTCAGAGGATAAATGATTCAAATGTATATTTCAAACCTTATCATCAAGACCCTTTCTCTCTCTCTGGGTAGGCTGACACATGGTTTCTGAGTACTTAAAGTTGGCAGTACTAAATGAATTCATTCCTACTTTACCAATACACCCACTGCTAGTGTGGAAGGCGGAAGCTTGAAAGCCAGCTGGCACAAAACAACCGAAGAGAGAGGCATTTTTATTTAAGGAACCGAAGTGTGCGTGCACACATACATATTCGCAAATGGATTCTTCTGTGATTGTGCAGGATAATTTTCCCCTGCTAAGCTACAACCCACCTGTAAACCTTTGGGCCCACAATGTGGTTGCCAGCCTTGCTTTTTGAACACAATGTGACACAACGGCTCATTAAATGGTTGAATTATGTTTTGTTTTTGAATAGAACCCATCTGTCAGCCCCCCCCCCAATCTTGGCTCAAAACTCAGTCATTTAGTAGCTGTTTGTGTCACTAGTGGCAATGGTTGGCAGCTTTTAGCTTGCTTGAGGGTTTTTAGAGGATCACTAGTGGGTCTTAGCAGAGCAGTCAGAAATTCTTTCATTGACATTAAGCATTTAGGGCCAAGATAGATGTTATGGGAAATGTATCATCAAAAGCAACCACATTACATTGCATTTCATTCTCCTTCTACCCCAGGTAACAGATAGAAGTTTTATCCATTGTAATATCATAGCATTCTGTGTCCCTCACTCCTGCATCACAATGTGGGCTGCCAGGGATGTTGCTGTGAGACGTGGTGCTTGTGGTGAACATTTCTAGATGTTATGGATGGGAAATATAGAAACGGATGTCTGCCAGTCATTTTCAGCAGCAGATATGCATTTTCCATTACATCTTGTTTGGCCCTTTATTATTTATTTGTTTGTTTGTTTGTTTGCTTGCTTGCTTTGAAATTTGGGCCCAGAGGCAAAAGAATCTCAGTTCCTTCCCAGGAAGAACCCATCACATGCAACTTATGGCAAAGGAAAATGCTAACGGGCAGGCAATTAAAGACTGGAGTGTATCTGAGTAAAACATTTGCACACTGCAATAGACAGTGAAAGGATGAGAAATGAAACAAGGCCAAGATAATGTGTTCATCAGGACAGAGTCATTAGCCATTGTGGCTAACATGCTTGACTTGAATGTGTTAAATCCATGTTCAAATCCCCACTGAGTCATATTGAATGATTTTTAGTTCTTAGCTTGCTGTTTTTTATGTAGAATCATGTTTTATCCAACAAACATCCCATTAACTCGAGAACTTCTGCCTGTATAACAGGATCTCTCCCTCTCCTCTCCTTTCCTCCTTCCACCTGCACACCGCCCCCCAAATCAGTTTTGGGTTTCCCCACAACCCTCCAAAGCAGATTGGAGGCAGGGACAGGAAGAGGAAGTCCCATTGCACAGGCAGAAGACCTTACACTAGCAGGATGACTTTGCTCAATGCAACCTAGTTTGTTTTACTGAAGCTGTGATTTCGTGTTTTATACTTTGCATTTTGTCTTATTGGTTGTTTCACCATAATAAACAGCTGACTGAGCAACTTTACATGCTGTTGTGTCAAAGACTTTAATAAAATTCAGGCTATTTAGGCAGCTTAGAAACCAAGTATGATACTCTGTTGTTGTTTTTAAAAAAGAAACTTTTAAAAAACCTTTTCTCTCTTCCTCTCTCAAATGATGGTGCTTTGAGATTTTATTCTCTACAAATTTCAGATTAGAAATTATCCTTTTAATTTAATTAAAGCTGACACCAGTGCTGGAATATGACTTTAAAAGCTTGGGGGACTTAACTGTGGCTTTGCATAATTAAGCTTTCAGCTGGTTCTTTGCTACTTTGCCAGGATAGATCTTTTGTGCTTGATATAGGCAGTTTCCACCATATTCCAGACACTAGAGAATAAAAAAATGCAAAATAGTTAAGCTGATACTCTTTGGTGCTGGATCATGCAAGTGTTTCATCGATATGTATGTATGTTTTGAAAGCTGGAGTGATCCAAGAGGAAATGAGTCTGGTAAAATATATCTTCTTAACTGTTTTGTGATGCTTTATCATGGGGATGTAAAGTTTTGTTCTGTCTTTTCCCCTTTGGTATTAGATGGTAATGCAAGCTGGACGGCTCTCTTGGATATAATTAAGCTGCCTTCTCTTTGCCTGCAGGTGAGTGAGATGGAAGTAAATGGTCAGTTTGAATCAGTCTGCGAGTCTGTATTCAGTGAGCTGGAGTCTCAAGCAGTAGAGGCCCTGGATCTGCCAATGCCAGGCTGCTTCCGCATGAGGAGCCACAGCTACGTGAGAGCCATCGAAAAGGGCTGTTCCCAAGATGATGAATGTTTGTCACTGAGGTCCTCGTCCCCCCCACGCACAACCACCACTGTGAGGACCATCCAAAGCAGCACTGGTGAGTAACTTACAAAACAAATAAGACAGAAGTGGGCTGAACCGAGGTACCATTGAACACTGATTCCCAGCATTGTCCCCAGAGACTGCTCTCAGCCTTCCACTCTTTTGCTTGGAACCCTCATAGGCATTCCCAGAGCAGAAACACTGAGAACAGTGTAAAAGCCTCTGGTTTGCTTCCACGGGTATGTTGAGAGATGAGCCAGTCTGGGGAAAAGATGGATTAATGAGGAGAACTGCAGAGAGATAAAGTTGCACATGTGGAGAGGGTGATGGTATGTGTGCTCCAGAAATTTGAAAACTTTATTATTTATTTTTTTAAAAAAGTGAGTACAGTATTTCTCACTAATAACATTTCATAAATACACATTTATTCTTGGCAATTTCCTATCACTTTCATAGCACATGTTTCATAACACATGTAAGATGAGTTCCAGATTGCGTCTTCATGCTGTTGGCACACAAACTTAGTGTATGTTTTCTGAATGCCCACTTTGTATGTACAATATAGGAATTGTAGCTCTTTGTGTACTGCTGTGCATTAAATGCCTTTCAGACTGAATTTCAGATTATTGTATAGTTGGGAAATGTGCAATATATAGAAATTTTCACACTGACTAGCCTAACAAATGCATGTGAAAGCTGTACAGGGTGTGTGACAGCAATATCAGTTATCCCACCCCCAATCTATTCTCAGCATTGCAAGCCTGTGTTTGGTATGTAGAAATCCTTCAAATCAGATTGTTTCAGACAAAAATTGAGCCTGTTGTGGTGAACAGAAAACAGGGATAGTTCAGAACAAAACAAAGGGTTTGTTTGTCTTTCTACTCATCTGTAGGAATGCATGAAGTACTCATACTTGTGTAACTTCTAACTTTTTATATGAGGGATAAATTAGTGTGCAGTCTGGCAATGACCTTGCTATTTGAAACTCAAATACAAATGCAGAATTTAAAAAGGTTTGTGTGATTTCATCATTCAATAATGACACTTCATAGATTCATTGTAAGGTACGTGGTATGCATTATCATCACGATACATTTTTCCATCCAGGCTTTTGGCCTTCAACTTGGAGAGGTTTAAATATTGTGGTCTCTTTTAGTAGGAAGGATATGTTAGACCAGGCATTGGCAAACTCCGGCCCTCCAGATGTTTGAGACTATAATTCCCATCATCCCTGACCACTGGTCCTGTTAGCTAGGGATGATGGGAACTGTAGCAGGTTCAGCAGGAGGCTGTTCAAAGGGACTGGTGGAAGAATTAGGCGGGAGAGATTGTAGTTGCAGTATCACTGCCTCAGAGCCCTTAAACATATAGGCACCATTTACAGCCAAATGATTTGACATTCCTGATCAATCGTGCCCAGGTTTAGGAGAGAGGTTGTGGCTGATGAGCTTTGCAAGAGATTTCTGACATTATCAAGGTTTGTTGGATTCAGTGATGCCTTGCAGCAACAGATTTTCATTGAAAGACCTTTTGCAATATATATTAAAAAAAACCATAGTAAAACACTGCTTATATCTTTAAGCAACAAAGCACCTATAAAGTCTCCATTGTTGCTGTTCAAAAGAAAATGTGTGTGATGCCATATGGGTGTGTGTAAAAGGCGGTCATCACCCTAAAACATTTGTTGCTCTTCCCACATCAAAGCAATTGGAAAGAAGAGGATTATTGGCCTGTTACTGTAGAAATATAATTGGAAATGGAAAAGCATAGGTTTTGCTCTAGGCTCCTGTGGACAGAAAATGCTCAAACTGAAATTGCTTAGAGCTTTATAGACTAAACTCATCATGTTGAACTTGGCTCAGAGGGAATAGGAAGTCAATGCAGTTGTTGAAAAATTAGCTTAATACCTTCAGCTTCCTAGCACCACTTAGCAGGGTGGCAGCTGCAATCTGAACCAGATGTGATTGCTGAACGAGCTTCAAGTGCATCCCCATGTGGCTTGCTGCAGTACTTCAGGCCAGAAGTGGCAAAGGCACATAATGTCTGCACCTGAAAGAAAGGGCAGCAGTTGCAAATTTAGTTGCCTTTTCTCAAATGATGAAGTTTCATCACATGCATACAGGCTCAGTCATCCTGACTCATGCTTGCCCGGTGCTATCTCCACTGATTCTACCTTCAGTTAAGGACCCCATTAAGACTGCCACCTTTTTGGTTTTTAGGTGCTTTTAATTTCTTCATTAACAGGTGAGGAGCGGGAAATCAACAGATGCAGTTTTCCCCATCACTGCATTTCCATGCAGACTTTAAATGAGTTGTGACACAGAAGCTGTGCAGGAAAATGTTGGCAACATTAGGCTCTGCAAAATTGCTCCAAGGAAGTGCTTTCTAGGAATATAGCAGGCAAAGCTATAGTACTAGTCCTAGTGGTCTTGCCATCATTACTGCTTCAGTGTTAAAGAGTGAGCACCAACAGCATCAGAGAAGTGCATCTGGTTTACAGTGAAGCGTAAAAGGAACTTGGGCTCGAGCCTGTAACAAAATGGTTATCTGTTTCCACTGAGAGTTAAAATAAATGAATGCAGGAATAGTTCTATACAGGTCTAGCTAAAATAACACAAAACTGAGAGAGATTATATGTCGTAGCCTCCCCCAACTGGCATACATTGGCTTTTGGAGATAAGCAAGACAAAGTTTCAAATTTCCTGAAGTGAGAGATTTTCAGCGACTATCCATCATGAATACAATGTGTTGCCATTGAATCTAAAATAGAACAACCTTTCCAAGGTCACCTACTCATTAGTAAGGAGGAAAGCATTTTCAAATCTAGTTTGAAACAACTATATAATGAACCCATGGAGCAGATCACGTCTTGGACTTACATGAAAAGACAGGAGGAACTGAACCATGCAGACTCTTTTGACAAACAGTTTTTCAGCTTCCTCTGAACATATCTTAAAGTTTTACCCTTACTTTGCATGAAAGCTGTAATAAACTATTTTATGCCCTCTTTTTCCCTGGGTATTCCACCTGCTTGGTGCACTCTACTGTGAGCTGGCCACGGATACTGAGTGGAGCAAACGTACTGTAAAGTCCATGAGTTTGAACACAACTAGCTTTATTGAATCTGGTGGAGTCAAAGTGTGAGTTGGGGCTCTTTGGGGAAATGTGGATAGTTGCCAGAGAAGGCCTAGGCTCTGTTCTGACATCTCCAGTGGGAGGCAATGACAGTTCACACGGCACAACCTGCCAATCTTCTGAAGGCATAATAACAGCTGTCAAAGTTCCAAAATGCACAACAATCAGCCAGCTGAGCAGAGGGCTGGCAAAGAACTTTGCAGAGCAGTTCTCAAGTGCTAGATAAACAGCTGGCTGTCATGTGCTTGGGAAATGCTGCACAACAAGGCTCTGCAGGCCCTTCCAATCAGCAGTGCCTGCAAAGCTCCTTTTGACCAAGCCATCTTTACTTGGCATCATATTTGATGTCGGGAGTAGACAGGGTGGGTGTGGCTTGCCTAAAATAGCCTAGCAGGCCAAATCAGAAGGCCTGGCAGATCAGATCTGACCCATAGACTGGAGATTCTCTACCCCTCATCTAGGCAGCAAAAGGCATTATCACAGTACCAGGGCACCTTGAAGCCAGGCAAAAGCTCTCAAGAGTTCAGAGCAGGACGAGTGAGGAATGTGGCCTTGGGAGAAGCCATCAGTAGGGGAAAGGTTCAGAGGGCCATATTTGGTTGAGATTCCCCACATGTTCTGCATATTTATCATCAAGCAATAACTTGCAGGTGTTTCAGCACCACGGACAGAATCATACCTCTCCACATAGCAGCAAAGACATTACTTTTTGCTGGTTAAGTCACACATTCCTCAATGAACCATCCCCTTTTGAGTAATCATGCACATACACAACATAAAGTGTCTCTAAGTTTCTGCTCTGATAGGACTCCGGTTTCAGAAAATGTCCTTCCTCTGGAGATAATTCTTGCAAGCTAGTACTTTTTCAATTTCATCTTTCAGGGCAGACTCTTAATTGATTTTGTTGACCTTTATGTTTCCTGTGTTCCAAAACAGAACACTCTGTTCAAGACAAAAGTGTATCAGTGGTTTCACATAATAGCATTCCATATTCTGTGACTATTCTTAGTGTATTTCTTTGAATGGCTTTCTTTTCTTTTTTCTTTTCTTTTCTTTTCTTTTCTTTGGGTTCCTTTGTAATTGTAGCCACAGACAGGAAAGGTTTCTTTTCCTTTTTTTCTCCTAATGAAGCACCTGTCATGGCTTAACATGTCATAAAATCACTCCAGAAACACCCAGTTCAGGAATCCTGGGGCCAATTCAGTGAGGTATGAAATGATACAGAATAATATAGGATGGCAACAAGATCAGTTTCCCAAAGCAGTCAGCTCTGTAGACTTAGCAGTGGACAACCAAAGTTCAGTTTTGTGCAGATGGAAGGGCCTGGCCTTTGGGGGACCAGGGTTTGGGAAAAGAGGTTTGGCTCAGTATCCATAATTATAGTAGTACTTAGGGCCACATTGTAATTGAAATAAAAATATTGTGAATTTTTTAAGAAGTAGATGCGCTCAACACTTCTGCAATGCTTTCCTGTGCATGAATAAGACATTTGAAGTTATCACTGTTTCATCATGTCAGCAATTCCCAATTCAGAGTTCCCATGTTACATATTTATTTACCTGATACAGTGCATACCAGAAATTTTCAGACCTCTTAAATATGGCTTTATGCAACAGTCCATAACACTAATTGCCCTAATGAGATGCTGTGGGCTATTGGGTACATGCATTATTAAGCAGTTCTCAGAGCAAACATTTTCATTTGTTTTTGTTATGCCATAAAAGAAAACCCAGAGGAAACCTACAACAACAACAAAAACCGTCATTCTAAATCCCAGAAATGATAAATGTGTCCCTACTCTCCTGCCTTGAAACTGCAACATAGTACACAAGTATAATTTTGAAGCTGTTTCAGATCCCTGCAATAAAAAAGACATAATAAGGTGGTGGGGTTTTTTTTTTAATAATGCAGAGAGGAAATCCTCTCAAGTTATTGTTTATGCAGGAAAATGTAGCATTATTATTAAAGCTGGAAGTATCCCTAGTTAAAGTCGTAACAGACAGATATCTGTTTTATGTTATAGACTTAATTTTGATTAACCCGTTCATCTGATTTCTGCAGATGTTAACCTCGTTCTCATTCTCTGGTGTGTCCCTCTTTTTGGCAGAGCGGGTGAAGTTTTTGTTCAGTTGGGTTTTTCTGGTTTTGTGTTTTTATGTTTTTGCAAATTATGCTGTTTTAGTGAATACGTTGAGTGTCCTTAACTTCCAGCTGTACATGCTTAGAACATAATTTGCTTGCACCTGGTGTTACAAAGACATTTTCCTCCTCTCTAGATGCAGGTGGTTTGAGAATGGGAAGGGAACTTTTCAAACAACTGGAGTCTATATAGGCCGCCTTTCGATATCCTTCTCATATAAATGTCAATTGTGGCTCTTGCGCTAATGAAAGCTTAAATCTCAAAAGGCGAGCTGTGAGCTGTCATTTGTTTCCTTGTCAGCAAAATTCTTTGAGCATTGTTTTACTATAGCTTTGTGCCACTACTTAAAATCTCTGCTTTCTCAAAACCCTGTCATTAAAAAAGGATATTCCTTGTGCCACAGGCGTTCTTAGCTTGGCCCTTCTTCTCTTAGCTTGAGACATACTGTCATCTGGATTACGTAAGGGTGATTTTTGAGTATGAAGTATCCTTTCACAGAGCTAAGGGTTTAACTACCCGCTCTGCATCTTTCTCAAAATAAATGCCTTTCCCTTTCTCGTGAAGAATCCTGTGAAGGACAAGGTATGTGCCGTGGACCAGCACTGTGCAGATGAAAAGGCCGCAAAAGATGGCAAGGACACAAAGTTGTGTAGTCCCAGCCTCGCTGTGACCATGTACAGATTGCGGGGCTGGCAATGGGGAGAAGCGATCTTCTCCCCGCCGCCCCTTGCTTCAAAAGAGGTCCGGGGACAGCGGGGAAGACGCGCTGCGCTTCCCCGCTATCACCGGAGCTTGCGGGGCAAGCTTCGTTTTGCGAAGCAAGCCCATAGGGAAATGCGTCTTGCGAAGCGGCTAGGAAAACGAAAAACTCCTTCGTCTAGCGAGTTTTTCGTCTTCCGAGGTGTTCGTCTTGCGGGGTACCACTGTATTTCTGCTGTGGCAGTAGTGGATGGAGGTGGAGACGGGAGTCTCTCCCTAACTTAAGGCAGCATAGCAAGCACCAGGAACTATGGGAAACCATCAGTAGCTCAGTTGTCACAGAGGGGAAGGGGGAAGCCTCGCTCTTTTCCTCCTTCACCATTGCATCAGTAAAGCTTAGTGGGAGTTGGGAAATGAAGGAAATGGACTAGGTTGGAGGGAGGCTTAGTGTACTGGCTTGTATTATCTTCTGGCTCACATTTCAGTCTTAAGGCAGAGAATAACCTTTGGGTCTCGTCATGAGTGTTGTGAGCCCACAAACATTTCTATTTCCAGGACAGGAAATATGCAATTCAGAGGCAGTGTTAGCCCCACTGAAAAGGCAAAGTTAATTTTCAATATGAAGGAAAAGTCCAAAGGGCTAATTCAAAATGTTGTGACAGTTCGTTTGTTCTTAGTGTTGTTTTTTAGCTAAATTTATAGCCATCCACTTAGTCAGTGCATAATACATCTAGGGAAACCTTGTTGTTAGCCTTACTCGAAATGCTTTTAATCTATTGGAGAACATTTAACCCAAGTCTCTACTCTGAGACCTTGTTCACAGAAATCGTCCCCAAACACTTTTTTTTATTGAAGTATCTGTTAACTGAATGTTTTTCAATGCAATTTCAAGAGTTTGTGTGCATTAAAGGGGAATGCTAGAATACACAGCTTGAGTTGAAAACACACTGACTTTGAGCAGGGGTGCTAACAAGATTTTCTGGGCTCAGCACACTGTATGTGGATTGGGCTTTGTGTCATATGCAAATTTATGTCCTCTTTTGCAACTGGAGCGGAGGACCCAAAAATAAATCAG